ACATTAGCGTAAAGGCATGTTTATGCGTTCAAAACAAGAAAAGAAATTGTTTCCCGGTATTAATCTCTTGAAACACGGCGCTGAATATTGACGCAAAAATATTTCGGGCATCGCGCGCCCTTCCCCGTTGTTTAGACTGTATGCAAATCCCGCGTCACGTGTCGGCATTTCGCATCTCTGATTGGTTGTTGCGTCTTAAGATGACTGAGCCGACGCGCGTTTAAACAATTTTTCTTTGTTCGATTTATCACACTTCACAGAGAATTGTCGCCAATGGCTACTTCTTTTTGTTGCAATATATAATACTTCACGGAGAATTGTCGCCTATGGCTTCTTGTTAAAACTTCTCGTACTTGTAATCCTAGCACTGCGTTAGTTTGAGCTGACCTGTAACACACGCTCATACATGTACGTGTCTGCTGCTCTCACCAGAAACATTTTGTAAATAGATTACCTGATATCCCTTTATATCTTATTCCTGATATGACTTTTAGAATTGTATTTTATCATGTATTATGAATTTTATACTTGGATTTTAAAGGCAGATCTGTAAGCAATGACGCAATTCATGTGTTGATTTTATATTGTACCTGCTATGTCATTGGTAATAAAATCTGAATTTGAATCTATTTCGTCATGCACCAGTCCTAACTATGCACATTATCATACATCCTCCCATCTCCTGCATGTAGGAAGGTTGCCCTTCATGTGTCTTTACTTCACACAATCATCATACTTTCAGTACTGGACACACAGCTCTGACTGGTTCTCTCACAAGGAATCATATTTTGTTGAGTGTATATTGATTCATTTGTTATTCATATTTTTTGTTATTATTTATGTCAGTTCAAATATTTGTTTACTGTTTTGGTACTTCAATTTTGTATAATTGATTGGAAAGTCCAATTCACTTTTTTTTTCTCTATGATTGATTCTGTTTCAAGTTTGTTATAATTTCAGTATGATTTGTATGTTTTATTTATTATTATTGCTAAAAGCAATTATCATTATTATTATTATTATTATTGTAATTTCATTTTATGTTGCTGGACTCTAGGAAGAATAGTATGGAGTGAACTTCCATACTAATGGAGATCTCAATAAACAAACAAACAAACAAACAAACCAGCTGGGTCCTGTACGTCCTTGTAGTTCTGGTTGGATTCAAAGTTGGAGAGTGGAGTACTGCAGGCGGTGGAGTAAGGCATAACCTTGAACCCTCGGTACACCAGACCCTTGTCATGCAGCTGGCGGAACACCCACCAGATGGACTCCATGAACCATGGGTAAAGTGTCTTGTAGTCACGGTCAAAATCAATCCAGCGGCCAAGTCGTGTCACAATATCCTGGGAGGAAAAGCAGAATCTTAACTGTTACATCACATACCGCACAAGAAAATCCAAACTTAACAAGACTGGCAATGAAAACATACATTGCCATGGCGACGGTAGTTGTTGTTATGGTTATTGTTTGCATGGCACTGACATGATTTCATGATTTTGAGGAAGACTTGGTAGACAGATACAGTGCACTCAAAGTCACAGAAACTAGGGCCATCCGGGGCAGAGAGGTCTTCCCAAGGGTTTCCATGAATGTGGGCATAGATATGGGTCGGAGACATGCCTGTGGACAAAATGCCTGTACCATTCCTAGAATTCTTGCAAACTGCACACAATACTGTACCATTAGGCTCCTCCCTGAGACGTCACCAAAAATACTAGTATGCTGCGACACTATGGGATCCATAATATACAGAGAAGGACAAGGATAAAAGACTGTGCAAACAAGGAGAAGTCGTAGACATCATCCCTCCATGAAATAGCTTGTTATTTTGTAATCTTTTGGTGTATTTCAATAGAGATATTATGAGTCAAACTTTGTTTTTATCAGCAGAATGATTTGTGGTGGCACTTTGTATTTATCAAGCTGTCATGTGCAGGCGTTTAGTGTCTTGTTACCATGGTTTGTTTACTTTGATGGCCAGCAGGTCATTTGCCTTAGCCTGGGTACCATCCCCAGTAGTATATTCGCAAACTCTATAACTGTCTAGGGGTAAAAATAGATAGGGCTGCCTGGGTCTGACCTGCCAGCTGGAGGTATAAACAAAAACACTCTGTCCCAACTTTTGGGTCAAACAGACCATCCTATTATGAAGTAGGGGTGAAAATCCTTTTAAATTAAGCAATAAAAATATGCGACAACCTGCTAATGCACTCCAAAACACAAAGAGACTCAACAACTACCCACATACCAAAAATCATACCAAACCATCCCCCAGATTTTCCAAACATTCAACACAAAAAGTCCAACATTAAACATTTTGTAAATATCAAACGCAAACAGCTAGGGGACCCAAATTTAAACCACTAAACCATGGTAATAACAACTACATGCTACCTTAATATCGCACAAACAGTCCATAACGCGAAAACAACAGAATAAAAAAATTAAACTGCAGTACCAAGGTCAATCACCAGGGGCTCAAAGTCAACCTACACAATCTCCAAGGCCCCATCCATCAATCTGCCAAATATCGTACAGTTCCTTCTCACCGATCTTCAGATATCAGACCAAACATGAAACGGAGTAAAAACAGTACCCCCATTTTCATGGAGGGTAACAACTATGAAAGTGGATGTGCGCCACAGATACAAAAAGAAGCCTACAATGGAAGTTACTGGAGACAGAAAAAAATGTCCAGACTATGCATGATGTACGATATGATTAATAAACTAGTGTTGGACAAACACAGCCACGAAAACATAACCATCTTGGCAAAGGTAATTATATAAAAAATTATCATGATAATCCATCCATAATTAAGTTATGCTGCTATACCACAAAATGACAACTTTTAAACTCAGGTTAGGGTTACATGTATGTGTGGGTGAATGATCTCACCTTCCATTCTCCAGCATATCGCATGACAATACCCCTGCAGGCCTGGTTGTATTTGTCAATGCCCATTTGAGCCACATCTTCAGGACCTTTGATACCCAGCGTTTTT